GACAGATATAGAGACAGACAGACAGACAGACAGACAGACAGACAGACAGACAGACAGACAGACAGACAGACAGACAGACAGACAGACTGATAGATAGATAGATAGATAGATCACAAAAATTACACACTTCAGCTTTGGCACTTTAGGTCTAATAGGGTCAATAAAAAAAGACAATAAAAGGATTAAGGGAAAAATGGGAATAAATGCATACAATACACCTGCATTACTTAGTGGAGCAAAGGAAAAGTACTTTATCTAAGAGAAAACATATCTAGAAAGCCTTAAAGGGGTAATATGATTTCAAGTTTTCCTTTCTCTTTGGAGTGTTACAAGCTGATTGTGCTTAGATAAGATCCCTGAAGTTGCAAAGACTAAAGTCTCAAAACCAAAGAGATATTCTTTATCAAAGTTAAGACTTTGCCACGCCCCCCTAAAATGGCTCGTTCTAACACGCCCCCACATATCTACCTCACTATGTGAAAATATTTGGGTTCTTCAGATTATAAAAAGGTAAGAAAGAGAGGGTTTTTTAAAGGGGTCATATGATGCGATTTCATTTTTTCCTTTCTCTTTGGAGTGTTACAAGCTGATTGTGCATAGATAAGATCCCTGAAGTTGCAAAGACTAAAGTCTCAAAACCAAAGAGATATTCTTTATCAAAGTTAAGACTCTGCCACGCCCCCCTAAAACGGCTCGTTCTAACACGCCCCCACATATCTACGTCACTATGTGGAAATATTTGCATAATGCGGCCCAAATGTGCACGCAAAGAAAGAAGGCGTGGTTTCAGGAACAGCAGTAGTGTTGATGCAGCCATGTCAGTGCGAAAGACAGATTTCAGCTGTCTTAACCGTGGCTTGTGTACTGCAAACACATACCAGCTTCATCACTGTGTCTGTCACGCGACTCTGTTCCCCAGAGTAAAGACATTGCTCTGTCTTTACATTTATTTTGAAAGATGAAGCTCGCGTTTATGGTAAGGGGCGTTACATTTCCGACGTTTTGCTTGCGGTGTTCGGCCAATCACAGTGCACTGGGTCAGCTGGCCAATCAGAGCGGACTGCGCTTGTCAAAGGAGGGGGCTTTGTAGAAAACGAAGCGTTTGAGAGAGGCGGGGCATAGAGGACCTACAATAATGTACAGTATTTGAAAAATAATGTGTTTTTTGAACATTAAAGCATGTCAACATATTCTGTTACACCAAATACACAAAATAATGATCTTTAAAAAAGCATCATATGACCCCTTTAAAACTGCTGAGAACTGACTGTATTTTGAGTAATCTACCACATATATTAATGTGCAAAGCAAGTGCTCTATCATTGCCTTCTTTTACATGAGCAATTAATGTAAATCCACTGAAAGACGACGCAAGCAGTCACTCCTCTGAGATGGTCTGTGTGTGTTTCTGTGCAGCGCAGTAGCTTCATTCGCTACGCTACGTCACCTCTGTCTGATAGCTGTTGTCACGGGGAGCGTTGTAAAATATGCATTAAGAGAGAGTCCTCAAATTGAGCGCTTGCCGTGTGATTAGTGCACATCAACAGATGTTTAATAAAATGAGCTCTCTGCATTTATGTTGCGTTTGGTTTAGAGCCACCTGCTGAGAGTTTGACAGCGTTAGAAAAGGAAATAAATTAAGTTTATTTAATGCAATTATAAATAAGTGGTAAAACTAAGTATAATCCATAACTGAGCCATGAACTTGCCAACATAAGAGTATATAAGACATCAATAACATCTAGAAACCAGCACAAGAGGTATTAGCCTAATAACTGCCATAAATGGAAAAAGTACCATGGTAATATACTGTTTTTTAGTAAATAACATAGTATCATTCCGTACCATGGTATGTTTTGTAAGGAGAAAAGGGACTCAAATGCCACATTTTTGACGTTCAATACAAACCTTCTTCCATACTTTGTTAAAACGACCACTTTCCATAAACTGCTTGTGAAAAGAAAACAAAAAAATTGACATGTATGACAGATATCAGTTTAGACAGATGCTGCTCATGCAGACGGGATTATTTTCTGGTTTTACCTTTTCCATCCCGTCCTCTTTCAGACTGATGATGTCGAGGTCGAAGTCTTTCCTCAGGCCGTCTGTCTTGTTTATGATGATCTGTCCGGTCAGTCCGTTCAACTGAGCCTACAAGAAGAGAAGAGATCTGATTTCATTCCAGAACAGGCGTTTAGATTAAAAACAAGGGTGTCGTAATAAAGACAGAGATGATAAAACTCTGATTGCTCATTTGCTTTTATTTTAAGTCTCACTTTAGAGGCCAGATGCAGCATTATCACCATCATCATTAGCTGAGAATGTGTTTTTGGCTCATGCTCAGCCCCGTGTTTCCAACTTTTCCTTGATGCATTAGCTTACACACACATTGTTATGTGTTTTGGGAGGCTTTCTGCCATTATTTTAATAATACAGTGAAGTGCAGACAGGAAAGTAAGAGTGAGAGGGAATGAGAATGTGACATAACCCAGATCAGACTCAAACAGTATTACATACATTTAGAAAATTATTTATTTGTTTATATCTTATTTATATTTTATTTTATTTTATTTTTAAGGGTATGTATATAAGGATGGTGATTCATTTTTGTATTATAAAAAAGATTACATTTTTCTATTCTGTTATAATTCTATTTTTATTAACTGGATTAATTATTTCTAAATAAATAAATTAATTAACTAATTAAATACATGAATTCATGAAATAAAAATATGATTTGCCCCATTCATCTAGTGACAAATAGCTAAGATAAATAATAAATAAATAGTCGCATGATCAAAAGAAGTGCCCAGAGCAATAGATCAACTCAGTTCTGCAAGGAGTTGTTAGTAAATGGACTCTATAATCAAGCTCATGGAGTGAATATGTGAGGTCTGAAGCCAAATGGAGCGACTGATCTATCCAACACATGATTCAGTGGATCTTTTATCCAGAACATGTTAATTTATGAGGATGCGGTGCTCATATAGTCAACAGACGTTCAAGCCTCATGTGCAAATCCAGTGGATTATTTCTTTAATTTGCTGTTCTTTAAGAATTAAAATGGGGTAGATAGCATTCATAATCTTCACATACAGTAGTGGAGCTCAGACTGACTTCATATACTCACACTGAGGTCACATGACCTTTGTCCAGATTTGTTCTAGTCATTATTCTCTAGTATAAATCTCACTTGATCCTTCCTTTTCTATCACGTCCTGCTCAGATCACATGTACAGTGAGCTTCAATTACCAAAAGCACACAAGATTAAACACGCCAGAACCAGCAGTGCTTACTGTAGACTGCATTAACTGTCCCATTCATGCTCACTAAGATCAAGGTCATCATCATCATCATCATCACCACCAGCAAGGGCGTAGGTTTGATTTTGGCATTGGTGGTGACACAACAGCAGACAACAGCCATTTAGCTGTTTGATCAAAATTATTGCTAGGGACAATTTAGTGGTTAAACTGGAGATCTCTCTTTAAATATGAAGAGGTCAAACAACAGATTAATGATTTAATCCAAATTTCACAAAAAACTTGTGGACGTAATTATAATATAAGTTAGACACTGAAGTGAGTTGCTGTTTTTGTCACTTTTCTGAGGAAGATTCATTCATTTGTTTTGGCAATGTGCCCATACAGAGAAATTATAGTCAGATTTTTTTAATGTTCACCCAATCTCATTTTGTAAGTGCTTTTTCTTTCTGTTTTGAAGATGTTTTCTTTGGATAGTTTGAGTACTCAAAAGAAAATTTAAGTTAAATAATTTGTTTCCTGCAAGCCAAAATTCACATACATAAAAATTGACTGTCTCTAAACCTCTCTTTTCGTTATTCAAAGTTGATCTAGACAAGTATATGGAAACTCTTAAATATGAAGAGGTCAAACAACAGATTAATGATTTAATCCAAATTTCACAAAAAACTTGTGTACGTAATTATAATATAAGTTAGACACTGAAGTGAGTTGCTGTTTTTGTCACTTTTCTGAGGAAGATTCATTCATTTGTTTTGGCAATGTGCCCATACAGAGAAATTATAGTCAGATTTTTTTAATGTTCACCCAATCTCATTTTGTAAGTGCTTTTTCTTTCTGTTTTGAAGATGTTTTCTTTGGATAGTTTGAGTACTCAAAAGAAAATATAAGTTAAATAATTTGTTTCCTGCAAGCCAAAATTCACATACATAAAAATGGACTGTCTCTAAACCTCTCTTTTCGTTATTCAAAGTTGATCTAGACAAGTATATGGAAACTATCTAATGTTCTGTTAACCCTAAAGCAGTCCAAACTGTATCTCTGTATTCATGTGTCCTCATGGTTTAAATGTTTTACTTTTTTTTTTTTTTTTTTTTATTTGTAGTAAACCCATGTTTAATTTTCATAAAGGTACATATGTAATTAAAACATT